GGTAAGTAGCCCCCACCCTCTGAACCCCCTCCCTCCTGACTAACCCATCTGAGAACATGCAGCCCCCATTGACCAAGACTCCTGTCCCCTCACTCCGAACAGCTCCATCCAATTAACCCCCAGCCCTGACACTGGCCCCGCACCCACCTGCCCAGGACCTGCGGTGCCCCTCACTAACCCCTAGAACTAAGCCCAACCCTCCCCACCATGTGCCTGACCTCCCTCCCCGCCCTTACAACTGACCCCCATTCTCAGCCCCATCCACATCTCTCTCCCTGACTCCCCCCTTGGTTTTGCTTCTGTTTAATCAATCAAGAAAATGGGGTACACACCCAGGACATTCTTCTGGGTGCAGGCTGGGGTGGGAAAGACTCACCCACTCACGCAGTCACTTGTGGATTGGCCACAGCGCTGACAAAGCACACAGGCTCCCGGCGCAGTGCTAGGCCCAGGGGATTCAACAGTGAGCAATGCAACCGCACCCCCGCCCTCCACGAGCTCTCGGTTTTGGGGGAGAGGCAGACACAGACCTAGAACTGAGGCCGAAAAGCAGGGCTGGGCTGAGGAGCCTTGTCCCGGGATCTGGCGAGAGGCGGGTCTGCTCTGGGGCTTTGTGAGGATGCACCTGAGTGGGGAGACTGCAGTTCAGGAGGCTGGGGAGGAGGCTGGGATGAGGGTCCAGGGGGAGAGGACAAAGCCTGAGCCGGGCTCAGGGCTATGGGGGTGGAGAAGGAAGGAAAGAGACAGAGTCGGGGGGCCAGGGGTCAAGAGAGCAGGGTCAGGACTGGCCAGTGCGGGACGTGAGGGAGATAGAGTGAGGAGACAGTAGATGAATTACTCAGCAAACATAACGAAGCACTTTCTACGTGCCAGGAGTCTAACATACATTCTGAAATCCTCACAACAACCCCAGCTAATCCCTAACTTCGTTCATTCATTCATTCATTCATGCATGCATGCATGCAGCAACTAATGATTGAGGGTAGAATTCCAGGCACTGGAGATTTAGCAGGGCACAAAACAAGAATCTGCCATCACAGAGTTGCTACTCTAGAGCCTGGGTCAACATACTACAGCCACGGGCCAAATGTGTCCACCAGCTGTTTTGTAAATAAAGCTTTATTGGAACACAGCCACTGTCTACAACCGCAGACTGGAATAGTTTCGACCGAGATGGTATGGCCCACAGAGCCCCGAAAATATTGACCATCTGGCCCTTTACAGCGAATGTCTGCCACTCCATGATTGGAGGAAGCAGAAAACAAACAAAATGATAATTACTCTGGCCAGGTCAGATAAGGGGTGAGAGTCTTTCTGAGAAGGTGACTTGAAACTTGAAAGCTGAAAAAGCTCCAGCCAGGCAGAAGAAACAGCAAGAGAAAAGGCCCTGAGGTGCTGCCTGAGGTGCTGCCTGAGGTGCTGAGGTGGGAAGAGCTTGGTCTGTTAAAGGAACAGCAAGGAGGGAAGTGTGGCCGGAGCTCAGTGGCCTAAGGGAGAGGGGAGGAGTCTGGGGGGGGAGGTTTTTTTGGCCATGGTGAGAGGCTGGATTTGATCTTAATGGGAGGCCACCTGAAAGCATTTGATCCATCGCTTATTCATTCAACACATGCCTGTGGAATCTCCCTTCACAATACAGAGATACATCCTAAAGAATCCCTACAGGCAGCCTAAGGAGATGCCACAGCAGGACTTAGGGAGCCTCCAAGGACAGCCGCATCTAAACCCCCTTGTTTTACGGAAGTTCAGGGAGGTCCATGGCCAAGCCCCAGCCACAGAGCAGATGGGGGACAAGAACCCAGGCTTCTGGGGTCCTAGTCCAGAGGGGACTGTCTGGCTCTTCCTGTTTCATCCCTCGACCTCTCCTTGTTGCGCCCCGCCCCCCACCTCCATCATCCTCCACTTTCATCTCATTACCAACCCCCTGCCTCCCTGCTCCCATCTCACCCCTCCCCCTGCTTGCACCCGGTCCTGTTACCCACCCCCCTTTGTTCCCCACTTCCAGGTCTGGATGGGCCCCTATGGAATTGAGGGGGAGGGGGGAGGATTCGGGAATGTGGGTGAGGGGGGACTGGGGGGGCAGTTGGGGGGAGTTCTCTGCTTCTTTTGCCTCGGATGCCAAAATCCATTCATTGAACTCAAATTATGGCTGGAGCTGATGGGGCTGACTGAACTCCCTCCCCCAAGGTCCTGGATCCCTCCCCCTTCACGCGCCTCCCTTCCTAACTAACCTTCCTCCAGGACCCACCCTCCACTATTCCCCCCCCAACCAAGATCCTCCCTCCTGACCTGACCCTCACCCGCCCCATGACCCCTCCCTTCTCTGTCTCCCCTCACCAACCACCTGATTCCCCGCACCTGACACGCGCCCCCCCCCCCTCCCCAGCCCCCCCCCTCCTCTTTCCTTCATCCTCCCCTTCCCCCTCAGCCACCCCGGAAGCTCCTTCCATATTTGATGTCTCTGGCCGCCCCCATTTCACTGCTCCCCTCCCCCGGAAAACACCAGAGAGGAGGAAGAGATCTCAGCTTTTCTCCGTCTCCCCAACAGTGAGGCTGTGTTGGGGGGTTCCCCCTGGCCACCACCCCACCCCCGTGACTCTGTGTATTTCTGTCCCCAGCTCTTGTCACCGCCTGAGACCTCGTGAGACCCTCGGTCCCCCCCTGCCCCTTCCCCCCAGGTTAGCAATTGGGAATGGCTGGGAGGGGGTGTCCCCAAGATACTGGGCTTCCAACCTCCCCCAGGCCCTCTCCCAACAGTCAAGATGCCCTCGTCCAGACAGACCCCTTCGTACTGCCTAGCAAAGCCCTAGAAGAGCCCAGACAGTGGCATAACTCTTTAGACATTCCTAAGTTTTCAAGAAACCCCACATGTGCCCCTAAGCCTTAGATCCCTTTGGCTATCAGGACTTTGTCAGGACCTTCCCATCAGAAAGCTCTCGTTTAAAGGCTTCTTGACCCTTTAGAGATGCCCCCATTACAGCCTCCGGCCGAGTCTTGCCCTCATCAGACTGCCCTAGGAGCTGCCCTCCTGCACCACCCGCGCCCCGCCCAGGGAGGAGGCACTGCCGACTTGTGCCCCATTCAGCCCCTCACGGCGTCCCCACCCGCCTGTCTTCATTTCTCCACATCTAGTTTAGCCCCCTACCCACTGCAGCCCCACTCATTCCCTCCCAAGGCCTCTCCACCGGCTGCTCCCACACTGGCATTCCACCCACGCTCCCTCCCCACGCCCGTGCTGCCCACCATCTGCCTCGCTGCCCCTCACCGTTTTGCCTCAGACGAGGGGGCCAACAGGGGGGAGGGGAGTTGAGGGGGGCTACGGTGGGGGTAGGGTGGGGGAGGCTCGGTGGCTGCCACCCTGCCTCCTAACCCTGAGTCTCTCCCCCCTCCCCATGTCTGAACCTTTCTCCTTGATGCCGACTGACTGTCCAATTTGTTCACTTCTCTCTCTCTCCGTCTCCTTGCTCCGCCTCTGTCCATCTCTCCGTCTCTTGCCATCTGTCACTTTGTGTCTTGGTGTCTGTCTCTCCATCTCTTATCCTCTCTTGTCTCCCTCACCGTCTCTGTCACCTGCTTTCTCTCTCTGACTCGCCCTCTCCATCTCTTCCTGTCTCTTGCCTTTTCCTGTCTCTGTCTTCTCTCTTTTTCCATCTCATATCCCTTCTGTTTCCCTCCTGCTTCTCTCTGTCTTGGGGTCCCTCTGTCTGTTGGGCCCTCCCCCTGCACCCCTATCTCCTCGATTCCTCCCCGTGTTTCTGCCCTTCGCCCTCCCCCCCAGGTTACGAGAAATCCCGCAGCCTGAGCAGCATCGCGGGCCTCAGCGGGGTGTCCCTGCGCCTCGCCCCCCTTGCCACTCCCCCTGGCTCTCCCAGGGCCGCCCGCCGCGCTCCCCCAACCCTGCCCTCCATCCTCTAGCGCTCCCCTCCCCCCCGTGGGGGGACTCGGGGGTGACAGGGAAGAAGGTCAAAGGGGGTGGGGGTGGGGGAAAGGGTTTTTTTTTTTAAAAATCAAACAGTCATTAATAATATGCAACCGAGACGACGATGCCAGCAGACACCCCCGGGCCCCTCACCTCCACCTGGACCCCAGGATGGAGGGGGGGAGGAGCCAAAGCCCATCCCCCCAACTATTCGCCCCTCCTGAAAAAAAGCCTTCTCAGGTCTCCATGAACCATAGGAACCACCCCCCGAATCGACTCGTGTAAATACGTCCAAATTATATCAATTACATTTTGGGGCGCCTCCCCACTGCTCTGCATGCCTCCCCCAAACTGGATCCCCGCCCTCTCCAACTCCACCTCAGCAATAAGCCGCCAGGGGCTGCATGCTGCGTGCGAGGGAAGGGGCATTCTGGGAAGCGGGTGGGGACCTCCATGTGGGTCGGGCTGGCCTTTAAGCTACCGGAGGGTCTCCTAGCCTCCTACCCTTCACCCCAGGAGGGCAACCCATCACGAAAAAAAAAAAAAAAAAATAGCAGCAATGTGGGGGAAGGAGGAACAGTCACCTAAGCCAAAAACCGGAGCTGAGCTCAGACGGTAGAAGCGGAGGCACGGGGGGAGGGGTGGGCTGAGGACAGCTGCTCTCTCAGCCTTTAGGAGCATCCCTCTGGTGAATTTCACTCTTTCATCCTCCTCCCCCACCCCCCACCCCACCCCCAGGGATCTGCTCGCCTCTATTGCTGCATGGACTCAGACCTCCCATCCCAGTATTCCTGGGATGCTCTGGCCCTAGCACACAAAATTCCCCAACACCCCCTCCAGATTCCCATCACATGAGGCCTGCCCCCAGAATTCCTGAGACTGAGTCTGGCATCCCGCATCCTCCAAATCCCCACACGCTCCTGGGACTTAACCTCTGCACACACATGCTGTCCGCACCGCGCCCCCCCCGCTCCGCCCAAGCCCCACCGCCCACCCATTCCCTGAGCTGCATCCCAGCACCTCAAACCTCCAAGACTTGATCCAGCCCTTCAGCTCACTTTCAGCCTTTGGGATGCTCCAAATCTTTCCCACACTCTGGACATTTCCTGGACACCCCTAAATCTGACATCAGACATACTCCTCAGGTTCCCCTGACGCTAGGATTTTCAAGATAAGCTCAATCTGTCTGCAATTCCAGGGAACCAGGCCTTCCCGGGGCACCCCCTTTCTTATGCCTAACCCTGCCCCTCCAAGAGCCCCTTTCTTTAAATGGTGCCCCCAAAGGCAGCTTCTTCATAGACGCCAATGTTTCCCAGAGGGTCATATTTGTACCCCTGGCGATGTGCTAAGGTTTTAGGCAGTACAAGGACAGACACTTATTTTTAAAGTTTTATCTTTCTGGCATTTCTCACGTAAGCCGGTAAGTCCAGATATTGCTGCTTGGCCAGGACACCGTTTATTTAGGTTAGAGGTGTTTACATTTAAAATGTATAGGCTGATCCCTAGTGGAGGGACGCTGGAATATCAGAAGCTTGGGAAGCCACATATCCACCTGGGCTGGGACCCCAGCTCGCCCTTCCCCGGCCTTCTCCAACCCCCCACGTTCGCGGGTGGAAAATCATTTCTCATACCCCATCCTGGCTCAAGAAGGATGCGCTACCTACCCCAAGCCCAGGGACCATATCGGTCCCAGAATCCTTAAGGGACTACCCCTTGTGGAGCTTGGGGCCCATGGAATTAGCAACCTCCCTCCCTCTGCTCCCACGGCCTCAGGAACCCCCCCCACCCTCCGCCTGAGGATTGGTGGTGGGGGTGTCACTGAGCACGATTCTTGATGCAACGATTCCTATGCAAGGGGCATTTTTGAGTCCGCCCATCCTTCCCTTGGGCCCTAAACCCTGGCGAACCAGGGCTGCGGGATGGGGCGGGTTCTGGCGGGAGCGGGGTGCGGCGGGGCAAAGGGCTAGGGGCTTTAAACACCAGGGTATGGGGTTGGAGACTGATTGTATTGCCAAAGGGTTTAACTTCTTAAAGCAAAACAAAACCCCAGATACCCCTGACCCTCACGGAAGCCGAACGGTGCAGGGAAAGGGGGTGAGGATTTTTCTAAAGGGTACGGACCGCTTCCCAACGTCTCCCCCCTGCTCGCCAATCTGCCACACGTACCCAGCTTTTTAGTTCAGCTTTTAAAAATAGTCACAATCATTATAAACCTCTACACACGTTATTCTCGTTCCCCATCCCCCAAGTCAACAGTGTGGGATTTGGGGAGGGAGAGAGAGAGCTAAAGGGACAACTTCAAGTCCCGACTCCCCTTTTCCCCCCGGCCGCCAGGGTGCCTGCAACTACACGCATGCGCTGCATGACGCGCTCCCCACACGCATGTCGCGCCCCTCCTGCGCTCCGGGAACGCACGGACAAGGGGCGGGGGCGGGGTGATTGGGGAGGAATGAATGGCGGGGGGTCTTTCTGAATACAGCGGCTCCTCCCCAACACACACACAGCAATAAGTTTCTCTCACTCAAAAGTGGGCGGGGCGGGGGGGCCTGTCCTGTTGTTGGGGTGGGGGGGAGTGGCAAGGGGGTGCTCTCAGGGATGGGGGAGGGTGCCCGGAGTCAGTCTGGGGAGGGGAGGTCTGCAAATCGTCCAACTCTGGTGCTAATGGCGGGTCTTCTCAGCCCACCCCCAGGGCAGGGAGGGAGGGGTCGGCACGGTCCCTCCCCCAAGCCTCCCCCACGCCCACCCTGGGTGCATGAACCGCCCGTTGCAGAAGCTGCCGCATGTCACCCCCCCCCAAATAAAAAGTGTCATACCCCCTTCCCACCCACCCTTTCACTCCCCACCAAAATAAAAGTTTCCTTTTCATTTAAAAGTTTCATCCTCTTTGTCTCCAGAGAAGGTCTCCTGATGGGGCTAGGGGCTCTGGGGGCAGACAGAAGGTTGGGACAGAAGAGCAGGGTCGTATTAAGATGGCAAGGGCCTGCACTTTGAGGGTCCAGACATCCCCCTCATCGCCGGCTCTCACCTTGTGATTTTGGCGGGGGCAAGTACCTGCTTCAGTTTCCCTGATGGTAAAAATGGGGATCCACACCCCTAACTGGAAAGTCTGTGAGGGCACCTGGGTCATGTGAGCTCCTGGGTCATGTGCCGGTGACCAGTCCCCAGAAAAGGAGTGTGGGCTCAGGAGTTATCCACTCTGAAGCCAGACTGGGTTCAATTTCTTAGTAGCTGTGTGTCCTTGGGCAAGTCTCTCAACTTCTCTGGGCTTGTTTCCACCACTCTAAAAGGGTGAGTGGGGGTGATCTATTAATTCAGCAAACATACTAAGGACAACTACGTGCCAGGCACTGTTCTAGACACTGGAAGGCAATGAAATCCCTGCCTCTAAGGGTTGTGCTGAGGGTTGAGACTAATGTCCCAAGTTTAGCTCAGCTAAACAAATAGTACGCAGCAAACAGCTGAACAGTCACTACTATTATTGCTTTGCAAAGACTTGAGGGTCAACTAGAGTGCAGCACCCCTTCTGCCACTCGCTGATGGAGAGGCTTGGAGCAAGGGACCCTGGAGCACTGAGCCTCAGTTTCCCATCTGTATAATGCAGGGGATACTTTGGAGGAAGGGAGGGGAAAATGAGTTCTTTCACATTAAATGCTGGGTACACGTGAGGTCCCCCGACCCTGGCCAGTTGGATTAGAACCAGCAGACTGCCCCCCTCCACTCGCTGCCCCTTGCCCACCCTGTCCCCCTACCCCTGCAGGAACACATACAGCCCCCGAGGGGTCCAGTCGAGGTTGGAGTTTATTTTGCCAGGGTCTGGAGTCTGGGAGGGTATGGGGGCCTCCTCCAACTCCCATGAGAAACTCCAGCTGAACTGTGATCACACAAGAGCAACCAGAAGGGAGCATGGGGGGAGGGGGAATGCGTGAGGTCCCCTTATCTTGCCCCTCTGCAAGGGTCAAAGGCTGGTGGTGGCCTGGGGCGCAGGGTGCTGTTGCTTAGAAGTTCTGGGGTCAGTGGCTAAGTGGAGAAAGACACGGGGAGAGAGAAGGAAAGAGGGAGCGGGAGGGGGAAGGGGGAGACTTAAGGGGGAGGGGGAGGAGAGAGAGGGAGGGGGAAGGGGCGTGGGAAGCCCTGGCTGAGGAGGGCAGGGGAGCCATGCTCCCTTCCTAATATAGATCATTCATAACTGAAGGAAGGATTTGGAAGGATTTGGAGCTGGATGGGACCCCAGCTTGCCAACTATACCCGAATTTCTCCCAAGCGAGAGCGCCCCAGTCCTTTCCTCCCTGCTTGCCCGCTCCTCTGTGTTTAGGGGTTCACGGGAAGTCTCAGGCGACCCCCCTGCCCACCCCCCCGTGGGGTTGATAATTGCTGTTACGCCAGAGGGTGGCACCATTTCCAAAGTGCAAGAAGCCAGAGGGCTGCTCGTGGGACAGGCACCAAGGGGGCCAGGGAGGGAGGGCCTGGTGGCTACAGGCAAGGTAGGGTCACTGCGTTGGGGCCGCAGGGGACCCTTCGGGCTCCGCGGGCAGTGGCCCAGACCCTGGCTCCGCCTCCTCCGCCGCCGCCTCCTCGTCGGACACCGCGCCCTCCTCCAGTCGGAAGACCTGGCGCACTGAGCGGGTGGTGAAGGTGAGGGGGCCGCGTCTGCGGGGAGGAGAGACCAGTGGGCAGAGAGAAAAGTGAGAGATAGGGAGATATGGAGAGACAGAATAAAATGGGGAGGGGGGCACAGAGAGATGAGGGGACAGCGAGATACTGGGGTTTATGGAGCGAGGGTGCGCATGTGCGGGGTGGTGGCCTTACCGAAGCCGGTTCCTCAGCGTGTTCAACTCCCGGTTCATGGACTCGGAGGCCTCTGTGACATCCTCCAGCTCATGTTGCAGCCTCCGGCGGACTGCCTGGGCCCGGGACGCCTCCTCCTCGGCCTCCTCCAGCTGCCGCTTCAGCTGCTTCACTCGAAGGTTCCCCTTCTCCAGCTTGGCGTGAGCAGGGG